ATCCTCTTCGAAAAAATAAAATAAATCTCTTGGGAAAAAAAAATACAATGCTCCTCCATTAGAAAATATTTATATAACCTTTTAAGGATGTTTTCACGTTTCATTCTATAATGAAAGCAATTATGTTTCTCCTTGAATTCGAACTGCTGTTGACTCTACTTCAAAACATAATTGTATCTGGTCTTGCTTCAGACAAAAAAAAAAGGCCGTATGAAATGACCGAGGAGAATATCAATATAAGTTTCAGAATTTGGGATTAATTGTTCATAGCGGTATGCTTCAAAACTTAGGTTTAACTGGTAACAATATATTGGTAATAATTTCAAAACTTGGGGTTGAGTGTTGATAATACATTTATATATTAGTTTAGAACTATTAGGTAATTATGATATACGATATTAATTTTGATAATTCGTTGTTATTAATTCTGTAATTTAGGGTTAAATGTTGATGATATATCACAATATCTTCAACTACTGTCAAATAATATAATTATTTTGAAAAATTGAGTCAAATGACGTATAACGGTATTAGTTTCAGAATATATAGTATGCTTTTTTCTAGAAGTTAGGATTAAACGTTGACAATGTACTAATTTTCGAACTGCATGTTAAATGGTAATAATATATTAATTTCAAAACGAGGGTTAATCTTTGGCCTTCCTCAAGTAGGACAGCGTTAAGTTTACTGACTTATGATGCTAAAATCCGGAATTCGATTCCCCGCGGTTGACACAGCTGATAGTCCAATGTAGCTTTGCTCTAAAAAAAAAAAATCTTTGGCAATGTTTTGGTGTTAGTTGAAGTTTAATTGCGATAGTACAGCAGTAGTCATTCACCACACTGTTTGTCAGGTTTTTATGTGGGCTGGATTCTTTACAGTGGGTGTCTGTGACTTGTTGACGATAAATTTCAACAATAAACAAATAGCACACTTGTTTACACTGTTAATCACCACAGTTGTATCCACAGCTTTAAATAATTATTTCTTTTTCGTCAAAGTCCACACAGGCTGGTTCAGTTACTTTAGAACACAGTTGACAAGACGAATTATTCTTCTCTACTCTGCTATTGCAATGCAATTGGTGATAAGTTCACTTAAGTTGCACTGTTGGTTATCAGAGCTTTAAATAATTGTCTCTTTCCATCAAACTCCACACAGGTGTGTTCAATTATTTTAGAACATAATTGTCAACACAAATTATTTTTCTCTACTCTGTTGTTACAATACAATCTGCAATAATTTCACTTTAGAAATGGTCACTATACGCTCTTATGGCTAAACTCACCAACACGCTGTCTAGAGCTATTTCACTATATATATGTATCTCACTACCTGTGCAATTTCATATATTTTACTTTAATATTTTTGTGTATACCTTTTGTTTACGTTTTGATTCGGGAAATGATTCTACAGTGTAGTATTTCTATACTAAACAATCTGTTTCGCAATAAAATTATGAAAGCCGTCAGTACTTTGTTATGTTGGTAAATTCAGCGTTTACAGAATTCATAGAATCTTTCCCCCGTGTTTGGCTGTTTCGCTGGCTTTTCCAACTTATTCTAAGTCTTGTTTAGTCTAAGTCTAAGAGGTTTAAAATGCACCTGACCCTCCCAGGCCCTATATTGAACCTGAAACCCTACCCAGATGAGATCAATTAACATTTTGGTATCCATCTTGAACTAGAATCCCAAAGCGTCACCTAACGATTAACAGATAGATTAACGGAAAGATAGCGTTCTCATGGAATGATGTGACTTCATAGCACCTAAACTTTTTTTTTCTTTCTTTTTACGGAGTTTAAACATTCAATTGAAAGCTAAGAAGTTTAAGACAAACGTATATTTGTACTTCATTCACAACTTTGTTACAGTAAACATTAATACATATTAGGTAACTCTGATAATAAAATTTCCTTTGATTCCCCATTTATCGAGTATAAATGTTTAAAAACCTACACAACATTTCACTGGTTTAACCCAGCACCATTAGGTCAGTTTTGAGAAGAATTCTTCATCATTTTATTTTCAGCTCTGAATTTTCTTGCATTTTCAACTACAAATAAAACACCCACATTTAAATGTGCACAGAAACATGGACGTCAATATATTTGAGTTAGGTATCGTACTGTTACGACAGCGGAGGTCACGTGACG